TGAGTGAAATAAGCAAAGCACAGAGGGATAAATACCACATGTGCTCACTCATATGTGGGAGGTAAGAGAGAAAGAAGGAAGGAGAGAAAGAAGGAAGGAAAGAAAGACTACAGTAGTGCATTGGTCTTGCAGAGGAAGAGAACATTCCTTGGGCTACAAAGTGGAGTGGGGGAGGGCAAAGGGGAAGGAGGTTGGGGATAATTGGGTGGGGGACACGGGGTACAAATGCAATTTGTGGTAATGGATATGCTGCCAGTATGAATCTGGCCCTCACATCATGGGCACGAGGGGTGACAATCAGCTTTGTATCTCATGAATATTTATTAAAAAAAAAGTCATATAAAAAAAGGCAGATGCAGCTGTATTTCTAACCTTCTAAATGGAAAATCAAAATCATTGTGTGATTGTTAACATCAGTTGATACACTTCCTCATCAGCAAGCACAAAATATTTTATTTGATTGGTAATGTTTTTGTCATTGTGGAAATAAAGGCTAAACACAATCAAGTATTAATATTATAGAATGCAAAGCACATAATTGCAATATTATGAATATGTATTTCAATTAATCATAAAATCTAGAAAATATGGGGTAATTTATTAAATTATTATGACTATAATATTACATTAAAAATGCTTCAAGTTCATTTTTACCAAGCTTTTGTTTTTTTCCTACTCTCAGCTATTTTGTCTACAGAAAACCCAAACTGCTTACCTTGCATGGTGATTCTAAGGGATCTAGGTTTCAACTCTTTGAATGGCACTTGATAGCAAACCTGTATTATCTATCTTAACACATACTTACCTCCTCTTTTATTCCTTTCTTTAAATACATGATGAATATAATTCTTTTATGATATGACATAATAAAATATATGATAAAATATAATGTAATATATTATGATATAATAATAATAATAAGAACAGAAGTTTACATAGGAGGAAGTACCAGAAACTTTAAGTGACAATCAAATAGCTTCAGAATAAATATTACATTGTTAGCTTGGTCACAAACATTAAACAAAAAGGATCTTACCTGATAAGTCGAAGTTCACTTCATTGCCGGGACTTGGACCTACGTCAATGGACACAACTGGTAAGAGCTTCCGAAAGTCCCATAGTTTTGTAACCCCACAGGCATCGCAGGAGGCTATCATGTGACCCTTCAAAATATAAAACAGAAAAGAAATGTATGTACATATGTATTACACATACAAGGTTTCTTCAGAAAGTTCATATAAAAATAGAATTAAAAAATAATGTGAATTTTTCCATCAACCTTTTGAAGTATCCTCATATACAAATATATATATATATAGTAATCCCCAGACAAAAGGTAAGATCTATATTATAATTTTATTAAACCCATGAGAATACACTATTCTAAACTAAAAAGTTTTCATTATATCTTTATCTTGGACATAAAATTATTATAAAATGATATACTTAATATGTGAGATCCTATACTAAATTTTGGGAGATAATTTTTCAGGAAAACATTTTGATTTTTTAGTTATATGAAAAGATGTGATAAACAAAAATATATCCACTCATGTAAATTGTTTATATATACACATATCACATATCATGTGTGTGATATATGACACATAAAAACTATGTCCATGAAAAAAATTACACCATAAGCACATCTTGCCTTATATGCTTTCAATTAATTTGCACTAATAATTTATATCTCAGATAGTATAAAAAGTAAAACAGAGGTAAGAAGGCAAATGGACACAATGAGAAAAGAGTTTTATCACTGTGGGTAGACTGAGTGGGGCCGGGTGAAATTGATGCAATGTAACGGTGCCTATTGTGGTCTGCTAGACAAAATTCTCAGTAGAAATACTTGGACCTGTTTTGGTTAACTTGTAGTGAGCCAAAGAGGTTGGAAAATAGAAGGAAGGGTGGATAGATTAAAGTGTTATGGAAACAGGGGAGGATATTTTCCCAGTACAGTAGAAGCAGCCCAGACTCATCTATTGAGAGCTCAAGGTGGGTCTACATCTCCTACTGGCATCTCAGGAAATATTTATTGAGCATTCAATTCATGTCAGGAACTGGGGATATACTGATGAGGAAGAGGGGTTCCTACTCTCCAGCAACTCATAATCTACACTCATTCTTATCACTTCTTCTATTTTTTTGGTCCACTCACAATTTGAATGAGTATTGCCACATCAGAAACATCAATGTTTATGATAAGTCAATACACTGTTTCCAATTCAATATAAAGTTTCCCTTTTAGGTCCAGCTTAATTGTTTTCATGGTGGAGGTAAAAACCATCCTCTCATTTTCTTCGTAAATTTTCTAAAACTTTAAAGATAATAATTTGTTACTGCAGTTTTCCTTATCACTCTGAAATAGCTCACACACTTTTTTCTTATTTACTTCTTGTTTTATATCCTTTCTGCAAAAAATGTGCATCCTGTATTACAGTTCAAGTGGACTCTAGTTTTCCCTAAACACACCAGCAATGCAACAAATGCCATTAGTTTTATAATTCTGTAACTTTTGTCACTGGTAAAATAATCCGACAACCTTGTCCCCAATCTAGCAAATGAGATGCTTAATCTTTTTTATGACTTACAAGGAACATGGAGAACTTGGAATGTCCTCAAATATGTAAACATGTATTGTAAAAATTGTGAGGAATCAATGAATTTCATTTTGGAAAAGGAAAGAACAGTTCTCAGTAATAGCAGAGAATACCAATGTTAGAAATTAGGAAGACCTCTTTCTAAATATAAGGGTTTTCAATCGTTTCTCATAAGTGACACTCTGGAATGTTTTTTTTTTTTTTTTCAATTTTTGAGAACAGAGTAGACGAGTTTTAATCACGGAAGACCTCTTTCTAAATATAAGGGTTTTCAATCGTTTCTCATAAGTGACACTCTGGAATGCTTTTTTTTTTTAAAATTTTTGAGAACAGAGTAGACGAGTTTTAATCACAATTTAACTTGGAAGCTCCTATCACCAAAGACTTGATGTACTTTTCTTGTCTGGAGTCTATGAATTAAACTCAATCTTAAAGTACACTTTATTCCACTGGATATTGAAATGTGAGAGAACACACTAAAAATAAAAAAAAAATAGTTTTATCATTTTTATTGAATGAAAAGAAATATTTCAGTAGTTTTAATATTATTATATTTAATACTTGAAACTTTTATTGGTGTCAAATAATTAATGTTCAATAGTTTGATACTATTGAAATGAGTTTATATTTTAAATGCTTTGAATGAGCCAGGTACTGTGTTAAATGCTTCATTAATAAAAGAGCACACAGTAATTTTAAACAATTTTGAACAACTAACATCATTTAGCTAGATTTTTCCACTGCCTTAGGAACTTAGAAGCCAGGACAAAGTATGCATTATGGTAAAATGACTATAATAGCTTACTAAGTGATAGAAATAAATTTGTATTTAGACTTGATAACTGAAAAAATACTTGGTAACAAAAGAACAATGCAGCTATACTTCCAATTAGCAGGTGAAATATATGTAGTGCTTATTTTAGTGTTTGGAGGAGAATAGAGCTCAACAAAATGTTTGTTAAACCAATACATGAGTAACGCCTCCTTGGAGCTTACCTAAAAATTTTGCTTTAGTCAAAGTCTTTCCATAGCAGTCTTGTGCTAAATATTAATTCTAACCCTGATAGTTCTGGATCACTTACAACCAAAGAAGTGACAGAAGATGCAAACAATCCAGAACCAATAACTTGGAATAGATTCAAGACCTTGTATCTCTCCTTCTGCCATCTGAAGCAAACTCGAGGGCCATCTGCCAATCTCCTTCCCCAAGACAGAAAAAGAAACTAGAATAGTGCTAATCCAAACTTCAGAACGATGTGAGTTTTGAGGGATCTGAAGATGAAGAGATGTGGGAAAGGGATCAGTTGACAACCTGTAGAAAAACTGAACATTTTATCTAGAATTTATGACAGGTAGGAAAACAAAGGCTGAGCCATAGGTAGGCAGTTAACCTAAACTAAGAAGGATTTCAAAGAAAAAATTTTTTTTAAATAAACAGTTGGAATCGTGTGGCAATCTTAAAGAGAATAAAGACTCAAGAGCTTTGGAAACCTCTTTAAAATGCAATTCTGGTTATGTCATTGGTACCAGCACTGAGACCAAGGAGGGGAAGGTACTAAAGACGGAGCATAGAGAGCTTGCAAAGAGGGGCAGATTCAGCTCTATGTCTATTTTTGTAACACTAAATCTCCATCACCAGTGTAGTTCCTGCTACATGTTAGACATTTGATCTTTTAATACATAATTGAATGAATAAATATAAAAGAAATAGAGATTTTTTTAAAAAAATTAAGCAATATTAAATGATCTGAAGCTCCGAAAAAGAATTTTTTTTTTTAAGTGATCTTTTAATACATAATTGAATGAATAAATATAAAAGAAATAGAGATTTTTTTAAAAAAAATAAGCAATATTAAATGATCTGAAGCTCCGAAAAAGAATTTTTTTTTTTTAAATTCCAAGACTTAAATGAGTTAAATAACACAAGTAGTATTTAGTAAAGTGGACAAAGGGTACAGTTCAGATGAAAATGAATAGTCACCACTACTGATTGCCCCTGTTAAGCTCCTGACCACCAAATTCAAGATTCTACAGTGAGAAAAGCCATATAGACATGAATTTATTTCTAAGTTAAGAGTAGAAGAACATAAGATCAAACCAGCCTCATCTAGGTGGCTGAAAATATATTGAAGAAAAATTTAGTAATACATATTAAGGATCACAATAGTGTTCATTATTTTGAAACTTTAATTTTCTTTCTAAAAGTTATTACAAATTAAAGAAAAAGTTATAATAAAAATAATTAATGCAGCACTACTTATAAACAAAAAATGAAAACATATGAAATTTATAATCATATCATATGGAAGAAATAAACTGTGTGGTTGTGGACTCAGAAAACTACCAGAGGAGGCGGAGACTCGGCAGAAAACACACACCCTGTGGGCCGCCTCTGCAAGGTCCAACAGCCCCGTCTAGTGCACACAGAACAGGGAGACGTCCGGCTAGGGAGGCGGAGACTTGGCAGAAAACACACACCCTGTGGGCTGCCTCTGTGAGGTCCAACAGCCCAGCAGAATCCAAGCTGACCAGAGAGGTGGCTCCCCGGAGAGGCCCAAGACCCGAGACAACCACACACACAAGACACTAGAGGCCAACTGAGCAGTCACAGAGGTAGCCATACCAAATTGACATACACAGCCACACCTTAGTTAGCCAATAGGGTCAAACCTGTGCACTGTGAAACCCCCTGCCAAAATGAATAAACATCAAAAAAAAAAGATACCAGAAATACAAAAAACCAAGAAAGTATACCACCAAAAGTTAATAAATTTCAAACTCTAGATCCTATAGAACAGGAAGCCCTTGAAATGAATGACAAGGAATTTTGAGTGATAATTCAAAAGAGACTGAATGAGATACAAGAAAACTCAGCTAGACAGCATGATGAAACTAGGAAAAGTATATAGGACATGAAAGAGGAAATTTACAAGGAAATCAATGCCCTGAAAAAAAATGAAGCAGAACTTGCCGAACTGAAGAAGTTATTCAGCAAAATAAAAAACACAA